GATTCAAGCCCAAAAAAATACAGTGACAGACAGACTCAAGTACACAAACACAGAAATAAGCACAGACACACACTGAAGCGCACACACATACAAACACAGACAGACACACTCTTCTAGACCCCATCGAACTTTATACAGTTCAAATGTTGTGAATTAACATACCAATTTTTTAAACAAATTGTGTGTGTGTGTGTGTGTGTGTGTGTGTGTGTGTGTTCAGGTGATGAAGAGCATGTGTAAGCAGGGCTACAGAGACGCTTTGCTCTTCCTCAAGAAGAACGGTGAGTCCTCTGGAAATGTTTGCTGAGGGCAGTGAGCGTTTCTGCATCAGCATATTTGACCAAAGCACCACGCTTCATTTCCTGCTGAATATGAGCAGCTACTGGAGTTATCAGAGGTGTTTATGGATGGACATTTATTATCTGTCTGTCTGCTGACTCACAGCTGTGCTGAGGGAGATTATCACGCTGTATAAATCAGCACTATACTGTACCGTAGTAAAGCAGAGAGATTGACTGGTGTTGCAGAGACCTCTAGTGTACATTGCTGGCATTACACTTTCAAATTGAAAATCCTTCATTTTCTTGTCGGCTTAGTCCCTTTATTAATCTGGGGTCGCCACAGCGGAATGAACCGCCAACTAATCCAGCATATATTTTACGCAGCGGATGCCCTTCCAGTACTGGGAAACCCCCATACACACTCATTCACACACACACAATACAGACAATTTAGTTTATTTAATATAGCGCATGTGTTTGGACGAAGGGGGAAACTGGAACACATGGAGAAAACCCATGCCAACACGGGGAGAACATGCAAACTCCACACAGAAATGCCAACTGGCCCAGCCGAGACTCGAACCAACGACCTTCTTGCCTAAAAACTTTATATATGATTTTATGTGGTGTAAATATATTTGAGGTGGCACGGTGGCTCAGTGGTTAGCACAGTTGCCTCACAGCAAGAAGGTCACTCGTTCGAGCCTCGGCTGGGTCAGTTGGCATTTCTGTGTGGAGTTTGCATGTTCTCCCCATGTTAGCGTGGGTTTCATCCGGGTGCTCCCACAAGTCCAAAAATATGTGGTGACATTGGGTAAGCTAAAATTGTCCGTAGTGTATGTGTGTAAATGAGTGTGTATGGATGTTTCCCAGTGATGGGTTGCAGCTGGGTGGCAACACAGTGGCACAGTAGGTAGTGCTGTTTCCTCACAGCAAGAAGGTTGTTGGTTCTAACCTCGGCTGGGTCAGTTGGCGTTTCTGCGTGGAGTTCTTCCTGCGTTCGCGTGGGTTTCCTCCGGGTGCTCTGGTTTCCCTCACAGTCCAAAGACATGCGGTACAGGTGAATTGGGTAGACTAAATTGTCTGTAGTGTATGCGTGTGAATGGGTGTGTATGGATGTTTCCCAGAGATGGGTTGCAGCTGGAAGGGCATCCACTGCGTAAAACATATGCTGGATAAGTTGGTGGTTCATTCCACTGTGGCGACCCCAGATTAACAAAAGGACAAAGCCGAAGAGAAAATGAA